ATCTTTGTTTTTTTTTTGTTTTGTTTTTTTAATCCGCAGCTATCATAAACCTCATTCCTCCGAGCTACAGGGAGGCAATGTGCAGATGTGAAGGAGCAGTGAGAGTTCACCGTACATTACCTGTTCAGCACTGAGTGGTGGACATGCAAATAGTCTGTGCCAGGCCGGTAAGGAAGGAGACGGTGGAAGCACATTTATGCTTTCACTTCTTCCATCCACTGAAGGAGTTGACTGTTTGGCCTAAAGGCTGTCCCTGATAGTTTAGGTATGCTACTGTCAGTGAGTTTGTAGCTGCCATCTCCGGTGTTTCCTCTGAATTGTCTTTTGCAAACAAAAACATTCTTAAGGTATCATCAGGCATTTACTCTGCCATTTTTGTCTGTTGAAAGCTACATGTCAGGTTGCCATTTAAACCTCTAAGTATTAAATGGAGCGTCGGCGATCCAAACAGATTTGCAGTACCGTAATTCCTTCACCCTTTGCGCTATCTGAAAAATTCCAACGGTTTCTGAAAGATGAGACGTTGCGCTTTCCAGCCAATATCTGGTTATTACGGTAATTTCACCCCCACTGTAGCAGGGAGTGAAATTAATCTGAGGGCCACTCCTTTAGTAGACGGTAAATTGCAAAAATAACTGGCTGGATACTGGAAGTTCCAGTTGTTACAGATAAATTGGCAAATATATTTACTGACAGGACACTTAAAGAACTGCGTACAATTAAAATAAGCAAAAATATCCAGGTGGAGATTTAAAATTTAAAACATAAATGCTGTTGGTTTTCAAGGCAGACCCTTCCGTTTAGTTTTTTTATTCTTGAAATAGAGTATTGTACAGTAATGAATGTAATTGAGACTATTCTATCACTTTAGTCCATCTCAACTCCACTGAAATTTATTATGAAGTTGAAACATTAATCAAAGAATAATTATCAAAAAAAAATTCTATAATATAAATTATAGAGATGATTTAAATGAATGATTTGAGGGTCAGCTCTTTTCACAGTACATTGTAAGTTAAATCGTAAATTACAATTCCTGCTAAAATATTGTTGCTGGCCTAATATTAAAGCCCGAATCCGTCATGTGTGAATATTTGATAGCGAAGTCGGAGTTTGAGCGTAATTTTCAGTTCAGCTGGTCCGAAGCCCGCAGCCAAACCACGAAAATGTCATTTTCCTTTTAATCAGTGCCTGACTGATGGCGTGCTGCAGATGTGACATAAACTTTCCCGTGACGCAGGTACAGTAGTTTTCAAAGTCAGCCTAGAAGCGCTGGTGTCCTTCATGTTTTAGACGCTTCCCCCTGTTCATCACATCAAATGAATATTTGATCAGCAGTCCTCCGCGGAACGTAACGATGTGCTGCGAAGGTAATTCAGCCGTCTGAATTGAGTGCGGATCAAAATCTAAACGTGCATTAAACCAGTCCTTGATAACTGAAGTTAGACACCACTGCTTTAGTGGAAATTTAAAAAAAAACATCTTTTTGATGGAGCTTGAGTTGACAGTCATGTTGGCCATTTATTATTAATGTTTATTCCCTCGTCTGCGGGCAGCTGAAGAAAAGGTGAATATTACTTGTGGCAACACACTGTGATTTATTTCAAAGTGCCTCCAGTTTGTTTCAGGGTTCGCTCCTAATTATCGCCACTGTTGCGGGTAATGCATTTTTAACCAGACTGATCAAAACAGTTCCGCGCCCAAAAGGGACGGTCTGATTTGGAAATAATTTAGTTCCTGTGCAGGCCAGTGATCAGGATGTAATCAGTTCAGTTTTTTAGAGCTGACACCAAAAGGCTTAACTTGGATGTTCTCTGGATATCGAAGCATTGCTGGACGACAAATGGACTAAGCTGCATACAAATTGTACCCTTGGCTTCTTTTTTTTTTCAGCTTCTTTATTAGTAATACACTTCATCTGTCAAAAAAATTGGGGACTTTTTGGCGTATTTGCATAAATACATTTCTTTGAATATGCATTTTGCTTCCAGGAGAAGTTTTTTATTTATTTATTTATTTATTTATTTTCGAATCTGGGAATAAAGTAGTGTTCATTGTGTTCAAAGGACTACACCTGGCCATTTGAAGCATACATTTATAAACGTGTGAAAATAGAGCTGCAAACAGAAAAATACTGCAAAGCGGTGCAGCGTGTTCTTCAAAACTTATTTGAAGACTTCATGCAGCTTTTAGAGATTCACATCTTGTGGTTGCATCTTATTTTGTAATTATGAACTAAACTCAGAATATGATCTTAGTCTCATCCAGAGAGTGGCTGGCAGAAAAAAACAAACTTCTTGCTAATTAGATCAGAGTTAGTTCATTAGATCCTGTGTCAGAGGCAACATTTGTCCCGCTATCTTAAAAACTATTAGTTCGGTTGATTGCATTTTCTCTTCCTTTAAAAAAAGAAAAAGAAGAAGAAAAAAAATCACAGACACGCAGACGATGCTGCTCTCTAAAGCAGAAGCTTTCACATAATAAAGATGGATTCGGTGCACTTAGGCGACTGACTGTTGATGATCTCGTGTCCTCGGTTTGTTCTCAGCTCTGAGGGAGTCAGCCCGAGTTCAGCCAAGTTTGACTCATCAAACATTAAGCAGCAGGATTCCTGCGACCTGCCAGCTGTTCTCCTGCTGCTGTTTTCCTGCTTTTTCCTTGAAGGCGACCAGCCTTCATTTTATGCTCCTCTGCCTCAGCACGGATGCCTCTTCTTCTTCTTTTTTTTTTTTTCTCCATTTCATCTTTTCCCCTGGTGGGAGCTCAGTCATAACACTCCTGCTGTCCTTTGAAGCATTTCTTGACCTTTTAGTCCGGACAGATCTTCTCCTGCAGAGAAACTTGGGCTCTAACTGGAGATGAAAGGTGTCTAAAAGGCTTAAACTACACCTTTTTGTCTGAACACTGCAGGTGAAAGAGCCTTCGCGCGGCTCCAGTTTGATGTTGGGAACTCAAAGTTGTTTGGAAGTAGTTTTCTTGAGGTGAAACCAAAACCAACCACGGACATCGAATCCGCGATGAGGGAAGACATCTCTTTTCGAGAAATAACTTTGAAGGATTTATGTTGTCTGGCGGGGAAGCGGAATAATTTCAGATTTTTTTTTTCTTCTACATATATTGAAACATATTGGAGACATTGAATGAGAGAAAAAAAAACTGAAAAATAATTTGGTGAATTATTTTATTTTTAAGCTGATTGACTTAGTAAAAACATTACAGAACCTCTCAGAATCTATGCAGCTCCCTCTTCAGTTTGGCCCACAGACTTTCTTTTGGATTCAGTTCTCGACTCTTTGGTCGGGTTGTTGTCGTGCCAAAAGATGAAGCATCTCTTTTATGTGGCATATGGAACAAGTCAACATCCAAGTTCCAGAGGAAGATGATGCTGATCCATGCGCCATGATGCTGCCACCGCTGTGCTTTACTGTTGGTGGGATGTCCCTTCAGTGATTTGCTGCTTTGTTTTGGTACCAAACATACCTTTTGGTTGCAATAGACCAGAACAAATTTTCCCACAAACAAAATTGAATACATTTCAAACTGAATAGAGAGACGTTTGTGGGCTTTATCCTAATAAAATCTGGACGGATTTGATTTTTAAAACTGTGTCCCGTCCTGCTGGTACCTTAAAGTAATTTGTTAGAACCAAAGATGCGTACGTAGCCTTGGGGAAGAGATACAAATGTGTTGTGCAGTTTTTGTTGCTTTCTGTCATTTAAAAAAAAAAAATTATTATTTTTTTTTGTTCTTTTAACAGTTTGACGTACCTGCTTTAAAGCAAGAGCTCTCCAAGAGGAGTCAAGGAATTTTGGTATTAAAATTTGAATGAAAACTTATTTCTGAACTCACTCTCTCTCTTTTTTATCGTATCAGTGCTTTCATTTTGTTTTTAATATTCATGTTTTGGGATGGTATTGGTTCTACAGTATCTGCCAGAAAAGTAATTAAAATTGTGCTTACGACTGCAATAACTATCTGAGAATCTGAGAATAATAAACGTGTTCCATCAAAATGCACAGCATCATATATATATATTTTTTTTTTTTTCCACAACAAATTATATTTTAGTTTGGTTGGCATTTTTGCCACAATTGCTTTAAATTATGACCTTTTCCAATTTTTTTCAATGCCTCATAATTGGCTGTGGCACTTTTGACTATCATAAAGGATATGATTTTATTTTATTTCATTTATTTTATTTTTTTTGTACCCATAGTTACATTTGGTCTGCAGCCACGAGTTCATCTTCACATACACATTTCAATTTAGAATCCACAAAAAACTAAACATACGGAAAACTGGCAGCAAAATGTAGGTGATGAAAGTTTAATAAGGCTTTAAGACCCAAAGTCGTGGTTCAGATAGAAAGAACTGAAGCTGCTCAGAGAACGAGAAATGTCCAGCCAAGATCTATAACTGTCTGCTGTTTCTCACTAATCCCTCTGCTATTTTCTATCCTCAGAAACGGGTCTGGTATCTGGTTCAGTTTAAATAACGTCACATTTTTGAGTTTTAGTGAAGATTCAATTCAAGGCCGTTTGTTGTTTTCTGTCTAGACCGTCTGTTTGCAGCAGTGAGCTACTTCCACACTGAGGTCACATGCCTACATCCGTGTTTTGTGTGTGCGCAGTCGGATGTGTTTTCTTGGGTTTTGCCTGTTTAAGATGAAATGCAGTGGGTAGCTGACACCTGCAGTCAGGGCTCTGTTGAAATCTGTGAAGGCCATTTTGTTCTCTTTTTTTGAACCGTCTCATGCGATAGGATGAGAAGGAACTTGGTTTCTATTTCTGCAGTAAATCCTACTTCATTTGGGTTGGCAACTTGCAGGTGAAAAATCTCCCAGCATACAAAACGCATCAATTATAATAGTTTTTGTAGTTAAGCTTTCACTTTTAGCCTCCATAATATGCTCTAGTGACGTCATTGGACTCTGTTTGTCCTATTTCTCTGAAAATCGAGGAATTATATATACTTTATCTCTCTCGTCTCCCTTTGCAGCCTGCGAGCTGATGAACCAGGGCATCCTGGCGCTGGTCACCTCGACGGGCTGCGCCTCGGCCAGCGCCCTGCAGTCCCTGACGGACGCCATGCACATCCCGCACCTTTACATCCAGAGGAACGGCGACGGCTCCCCCAGGACGGCCTGCCAGTTCAACCCGAGCCCCGGCGGGCAGCGCTACACGCTGGCAGCCCGGCCGCCCGTACGCCTCAACAACGTCATGCTGACGCTGGTGGAGGAGCTGCGCTGGCAGAAGTTCATCGTGTTTTACGACATAGAGTACGGTAAGGGGTCGACGCGTTTTGCCTGCCGCTCTGGTGGAACCTCAGAGGTAAAAATTCAAGGGCTGTGCTTTAGCGGAGACGATTGCATTGGAAATCAAAGATGAGACAAAACAGCTCTGTTCCAGAGAGCATAGTTTGGAATACGTGTAAATGGATTATTTGTATTCTTATCAAAATGTTCTCCCCTTTGCTAATGCATGTGTTGCTTTGTAGCTACACTTTGCTGTTTTGTCCCATCCTACTTAAATCTGCTGAACATTTGGATATGATTTTACTTCTGTTGATGGTTACTTTATTGAGGAAGCATTAGAAATCTCTCGTTTTGTTTCTGCATATTATTTTTTGAACAATCCATAAGGCACGAGCTGTTTCCAATTATTCCGTTTCTTTTCTCACTCTGGACCAATTGAGCGTGTGAATTTGCAACAAATCACAAGTTGTGAAGGTGACAAATTGACACATTGAACTGTTTGTTGAAGACCGCCGCATTTTGAGTGACTCGATTACGAAATGGTGAAATGAGCAGCACTACTGTTTTCTGTTCCAGTTCTCTGAAGCCTCAGTAGGACTGACTTAAACATTCACTTCTGAAGTTTATGGATGTATTGATACAAGTGGGCAAAAATCTCTCCGTTCCAACTCCAGATGGAGCCTAGCTTTAGCTAGAGGTGATCTTGGTTTTACATCTGACTCGTGATGAAGCCCCTCCCGTCTGCTAAATAACTGAATCCACCTGAATTGGATAATATTTAAAAAGTTGATCTTTTAATTTGTCACACTCTACTTACCTAGCAGCTGATGCTCTAGTTTTTTTTTTTTTTTTTTTTCTCCTTGTTGTTTGATATAATACTTGTGCAGCTGCTGGCAGAGATGGGGTTCATACAGATGTTTGCTTTTTTTTCTGCTGCACTTCGTGCCGAGTTACGTTTTTCTTTTTTTCTGATTTAGTCTGAGGAATCCTTTTGTTTTGATGAAACACATTTTGTTTCACCAAACAAAATGTGTTTCATCTGAACATCGCCGGTTTCCATTTCTCAGCGTCAGCTGTGATGTTGCGGTAACTCTGCGTCTCCGACCGTATTGCCACATGGTGCCTCTGCCTCTTTTTGATGACTCACCAGCTTCTGGAGACAGATGATGCAGCTCTGCTTGCAGAAACACACCGGAGTGTTTTCCCTCTGGCTGTGGAAGCCAGCTTTTCATTTGTTCAGAGTTTCCTGACTTGCGCTCTGTTGTTTCTGTAAGCGCCCCGCTTTATTCTTGCATGCCGTCATTTTAGATTCATTTTTATATCCGAAACATTTCATCCCACCTGATTTACTACACTTTTTTTTTTTTTCTTAACTTTGTTTACCTCGTGAACTCTCAGGGATTAGCTTGAGAGCAAATAATTGAAAAACCATTAGGAAAAAGCTCTAAGTGCCTCAATGATTCCCACTGTTTCCAGGCTGGGAGAGGTTGTTGCAGTGAAACTTTAGGGCCCGGTTCTCCCGCGTGTTTGTTTGGAGTAGCTCACTTTGATTGCATCTTAATGAAATCACATTAGCCTTCATGGGTTCTTCAGTGTGATCAATAAGGGATGGTGGCAATTACAATACAGGGACACAGAGCGATGCGGGCGCTTAGCCTCTCGGATTCTCTCTTCCAGGCCACAGGGATTTCAAGCTAAGGCATCAGAGCTACATTAGAAACCTTAGAATGATAAAATGAACAAATGGAAAATATGGGGTACTTTCTCGCATAATGTTAAGTCCTTAAAATGCGTAGGTGCTCTAAAATGATGGTCCCCAAACTCTGTGGCGCTTAATGCGAAGAGCCAACTTAGTGACGGAAATAAAAAAAAAATAAAAAAAAACATTGTTAAAACCTAGCAAACGTATGCAGTCTGCTGGGTTGAATAACGATATGAATAACTTCAGGCAAAAAGGCGATTCGACCCACTTAGCTGAGGTTTGAACGAGGCAAAAAAAAAAAAACCTATATAGGAGTGTTTATTAATAAATGTGTTAGAATGTAATATCTATTCCCGTCTAAAGTGCCCTATGCAACACTTCAACCTCCCACTGCTGTCAGTGAGATTCACCTTTACATGACTCTTCGCATAACCAGCTGATTCAAAGAGAGTAAATAATTAAATGTTTAAATGACTTCCGTGTATCCTCTTAATCGCTTCATTACATTCCACAGAGTGTCTGCGGAGCGGGTCTCACCTGTCCAGGATATCTTTAGTTACAGTTCTAATCATTAACTTTGGCAAGTGGGTTGTGGTTGTCCTTAGCAGCTGATCTTGATTTTATTTTATTTTTATTTTTATTTTTTTTTTGTTTCACCTTTTAGTCCCTAGATAAACATTTATTCACTGACTTAAACGCTGAATCAAAAGCATTTAATTCGATGTTAACTCTGTGCTCTTGGTGTTGGATGTCAACCTGATGGTCATTATTGTTTTTAAAAATCCTGTTAAGTTTGGTCTTATTTTGGATTTCACGTCTCCTGCATGCACATCGTGAACTTGCAGGTGGTTTTATCCGGAAATCTTTGTACCGCCAGAGAGAACATTATCAGATGGTTTCTGCAGGTTTGAAAGCGAATTGTTGTCTGTGAAAACGTTAGTAATACCATAAGAAGTCAATCGCTGACCTCACTTGAACCACTCTGACTACATTGGTGCCATGCTATGTTGTCTTCTGCAGCCTGGATAGTAGCGTGAAGCACTGAATGTCATTTGGTCACATGCTATTTGATTTAGTTAAAATATTGCCTGAAGCTAGCAGCACTAGCTGAGCATTGATCAGCAGTCAAATCAACCATATTTGGGAAGTTTGAATTAAAGCTGCTTTTTTTTTTTTTTTTTTCAGTGAAAAAAAAAGCAGCTTTGTTGTTGTTTCTGCCTAACGATGCTGCTGCCAGAGGAAAGAAGTTGTAAAGTTAAAACTTTTAATATTTTTATTTAATGACCAAAGTTCTTTTAATTTGAATGAATTATACCGCTTTGTGTTTTTTCCTTTATTTGGGGTTTTAATTGGAGGGATTCACAGACTAAATTCAATAAAAAAATAAAAAATAAAAATAAAAAGTATAACAGCTTCATAAATGTTGTAAATGCAGCTTGTGCAGCACAGTGTGGGGTCCAAAAACAAGGGCTTTATTTATTTATTTTTTTATGAATTAATTTATTTATATTTTTATAATGTGTCAGTTCTCTCTGGTGGTGTGATTAGGAACGTTGTAGGAGATGCAGCAGCTGCAGGTTCAGTGTTATCATATTTCTGGTCTCCCTGCTGAGCTGATCTCAGCTGTTATTACTCTGAGGTTTGTTGCTGCTCTGTTTCTCTTCCCATAACGATCCCTCCATTTTCTCTGAGGCTCAAACAGTTTAACACAACCGTTATTATATTTTTAATATTTTTATTATTATTATTTTTTGCTGCGAGATTATTGCGCGACATAATGCAGCTTAAAACCCTCAATGCAATGAGCAAACGGCAAAAAAAGGTTATCGATGGAAATACGGCCTTTGTGAGCCGTTTATGACCCGTCTGTTTCCAGCTTCTGCATCACTGATGGTCGAAAATTCCCAAACACGTCTGTGACACTCTGCTTTTATCTTTTATTGTTATTATTTTTTTTTTTTTTGCTTCCTGGAATGCCAGAGTGTTTTGCCAGCAGATAACATTACTGATAAATATCTGGGTTTACCATTGAACTGAAAGCTTTTTTTTTTTTTTTTTTTTTTTTTTTTAAAAAGGGTTTATTTGGGTAAAAAATTTAATAAAAAAAAAAAAAAAAGGGGAT